AGTCTCAGATTGGACGTCACATGGCGAAGCGCCCCTGAAAGATTCGCGGGGCAAGCAAAAGTTAGAAGAGCTCCTACTTAAAACCACTTGAGATGTACGAAAACGGTCGCCCCTTATTCTAGCCCTTCTTAAAGATACATGTATATACATATATGCATGTATACATATTCATTTTATATATATATATATATACATGTATATATGTGTGTGTGGGGTGCGTATCCCAAGTTCTAGGGCCATCATTCAGAGTCCCAGCTCCCGATCTTCTGGGCCAAGGACTCCATCCCAGAGCTGGACCTGGGAATGTCGGATTTCTGTTTGATTATATGTCGATATGTATATACATCTATGTGGTGAAAATCTTCAATCTTCGGTTTCTTGTGTGAATCCATATTGCGCTCTCCCATCTTCGAAAACGCACAAAAACAAATACAGTAGAGGGTCTGAAGCGGTCCTAGATCCCGCCACTACATCGCCATGACCCGACTGGTCATTCTAGGACTGCGCGAGGTCACTAGGTCACTAGGTTATGGCCCTGCTGCCTGTCGTCAGCTGCCTAGCTGGGCCCATGCCTCAAGCTGACAAGCCTTCTTAGGCCCACAGTGAAACTTCGATAAGCTTCGTATAGCATTGCAACTGGCGGTGCGTTGGGATTACGAACCATCTCCTGGTGTGTGAACCACAGAAATGCCCAAAACACTTGTCCGCCAACCCAACACCCCTGAATAAAACCCCCAAGCCCGAAACCCAAACCGCCCCCCTCTAAGGTCCACCGAGACGCTGCATGAACCTCGGCAGAAGCACCCGGCCGCGAAGCACCCGGAACAAGGCCCATATGGACGGGCGCCTCGCCTGGGATTCTACATTATGGGCCAACTGTATACACACATATATATATATATATATAGAGGATCAGAATGTAGTGTTCATGGGGTCGCATTTTCGGGAGGATGGCTAGTTTGTCGGTGTTTTGTATGCGACTGTCATGATTGCGTTTCACAGGCGGAAGGCTGCCAAGGTATGCCGAGGTGCTGTTCTGCAACCCGACATCGGACCAGCCAGGCTCCTAGGCTCTCTACCATTCCGCAACGGCTAGCAAAAAAAAACAACAGGTAGTTGAGAGTTGCGACTTGCGCAAGCTGAGGCATCCCATGATGTCGCATGCAAACCATAGACCTGCACCTAGCTTCGGTGCTGGCCGAAGCAATGCAGCAGACTTTTCCGTTGACCACCAGATCGAGGTCTTTCCCCTTGCCGTCGTAGCGGACCTCGGCTGGACCGCTTTACAGGTAGGTGCTCTCTTGTCGCTTGCTTGCCCCGAACTTAGCGGACCTACTGCCGATCCTGCCAATGCAAGGCGAAATCCAACAGTGCGGGTGACCACCACCGTCGCCCACTCATCGGCATAGGAGGAGAGGCAAAGGCACCCGATCGAGGCCTGGGAGTGCGAATCCTGCGGGACAACAAAGGACAGCGAGAAGACATTTTGCAGCTTTGTGAGGAACATCTACGCTAATTTAAGTTCTTACATGTTTTCTGTGACTTCGTTCCATTCTCGTTCTGGCTACGAGTGCACCGACTGCTCGAGTGGCGGTTGCTGTGCCGTCCTTGAAGGATCGAAGCCGGAACTGCTTAAGCGGTGTGGCCACGAGTTCCCAAGCACCATAATCGTCTGGGCCACCTCTGCACACACAACCCTAAACACAGGTCTACGATCTACTCAAGTCTCGACTGGTAGAACAGTAAGAATACAGTGACTACTACAGCACTTCCAAACTGCACGGGGCGAACTTCCCCATGACTGCGGACCTAGCCTTCCTTCAGCATGACAGTCTCCTCGTCTGCGTCGCTACTCCCGATAAGCTTCACGTAAGCGATAGCCTGAGGAGATGTTTCAACAGCAGTAACATGACCTCCGTCAGAAAGTCTCATGCTACCAGCGATGCCCCGATGTGAAATGATCGAAACCTAGCATATCTTGTAAGACAAGCTGCAGTGAACTCGGCCGACTTCGTCGTTCCCAGCAGAAGGCCCGTCTTGCCGTCGAGACGATACGAATGCCCTAAGTGGAGTCCCATGAAAATGTTCAACATCCGCCGTGATGCCCGGAGAAGACGGGATGACACAATGGCAAGAATCGAAGCAGTCAAGGCCAAAACAAAACGCGAAACGACAAAGCGCAACACTTCCAGCTCAAGCTAGCATTTTGTTCAGCGAGCACAGGTACATGCACTTAAGCTGGGGCATGGAGCTTGGCCACCAAGTCGCCATCCCCTGCAGGCTGGGCCGCGTCTCCGTCGAACTTCACCGAGCCACCGGAGGCGCCCTCGTTCACCACCTGCGGTTGGGTGCGAAAAACAAAAACCTGTGCCGTAGTCTGCGGTATGGATCTTACTTGACAGGACTGCCTAGCAGGCCGGTCACCTGACCGGACGTACATCAGACCCCAACCCTCCAAGGTCATAAGTGTAAGATTTGAAGACGCTGCCCGAGCCCTTCCACTCAAAACACCCCTGCTTGAATGGGCGACGTTTACTTCTTTAAAAAGGGCCAAGGAGATTGCAACGTCGGAACTCCACTTTCCGAGGCCGTGGCAGTCGATGCCTTTCTCTTCACATGCACTGCTCGGATCCCGGTCACAGACCTGCTGCTTAGGGTTTAGGCTCCGAGAGGATGAGAAACGCTTCGCTCTCGCTACTCAAGGCTCGCGTGGCTTGCGAGGCGGGTCGGCAATCGAGCTGTGCCACGAAATCTCAATTTGTCCAAGCTGCTTCTTGCAGCACGTGGTTCCTTGGCGGTACTAAACTCCTAAACTCCTAAACACCTAAACTCCTAAACTCCTAAACTCCTAAACTCCTAAACTCCTAAACTCCTAAACTCCTAAACTCCTAAACTCCTAAACTCCTAAACTCCTACTCCATGCCAGTCTGGGATCCGCAGGCAAAGCACACCCACCAATGCTGAGAACATTTTGATTTTATCCGCACACTGCCTCTTCAGCCTAGACTGAAAAAGACCTCCGAAGCACGAGGAGTCCCAGCGTCTTGAGCAAGAGCTGCCGCAGGATTGCGTCTCTGGCACAGGCACCTCATCTGCCTCACACTGGATGCCTGGATCAGACTGGCTCTGATATTGCGTGGGCATGTGGCTGTTTCGAGCGAACGTAAATGCCGATGCGGTAGTTCTGCTGTTCTTGCAACAGTATGGGCTCACGTTGATCTGACAGTCTGAGTTGCGTGAGGCCTGCCCGTTACCCAAAGGAACTGTTAGGGGTTCGACTCTCACTCTCCAGCGCGCTCTGGAACAAGCCGTACGAGCTTCCCTTGTGGTGGTTAAGGATTTGGGGTTGCTTGAGCTGCAGGCTTGAAGAGGTCAGTACCCAATGTACCCAGGCTCTCCTCCGCAGCCGTTGCAGGCCGCAGTGGCCGGGCAAAGCAGGCGATTCGCGTCAGGCTCAGTCGTTGGCTTGCAGTTGGCCCGGCTCCTTGGCGGAGGCGATCGGTACTTTCGATTCTGACACAATCTGACTGCAGAGGCATGTGATTGGGCCTGAGGCTTGTGCTCAGAAACACGAACCATACACCCAGCAAGTGTTGCGAGTGAACTCCCACAAGCGTTGCATCCCCTTCACACCACTCCTTCCGCTCACTTCTTTCTTTGTTTCAACCGGCCTGGAGCCCCAAGCTCATCGCCACAACATGGATTTTCCAAAGAGGGCATGGCATGTAGTCAGCCCTTCCTGTCACATTTATTTGTGTCTTCCCTTGTGGGGCTTGAGGACGAGGTCACCTACCCCACAGCCGAGAAGCACCTGCTTTCCCGTGGCAAGAACCTGCCACGGCCAATGTTGGCACATGTCAGCACAAGACAATGTGCTGCAATTAGCTCCTACAGTTCTACAGCTCAGCCCACCTGGCACGTCACGGAGCGCGTCTCGACGACTTCCTTCAAGCCACAGCTGCTGTCGCACTCCTGTGGTGGGCCCCCCAATGGATCTTAGAAGGACAGGTGGGACCTGTCATCTCAGTGCCTGCAGTTTTGATATGCCTTGTGGGGATGGTGGAGCAATTGCAACATCAAGCCGCCTGAGACTGCCATCATCTAGCATCGAGCCCGGCATCCGTGTGCCAACAAAACCCTCAAAGCAACGGAACGCTGACTTCTCAAAGTCTTGCTCAGGTTGTGAATTGGCCTCTCCTTTGTCTCATCCCAGCTGATGTAGTCCCAGGAGGTCGCATCACAGCATTCCTCCACCTGCCACGCAACGCTGTCAAGCCTCGACAACAAGTAAAATCAAGAAAATAGTGGCTTGCCCGAAAAACCGGAACAACGTGGTTCCAAGACATTCTTGAATCCTACTGGCCTCCTGATAAACACCTTCAACCACAAGGATCTGATGATGTAGGTCTTGCCTTGCACGAATCTGTCTTGCACAGCTCGGTCCTGTTGGCAGCCTTGGCCACGGAGCCTGCCCGCGCAAGCAAGGACTGCTCATGGTGCGAGTTCAGAATCAGTGGAATGACTCTTATGCCAGGTCTTGGCGCAAAACACACCAGAAGTATGGACCTGAGTGGCCGAAGTGACGTCCGATCCACTGACCCCTGTCCCCCCGTACTCTGAACCTGCTACGACACTTCATGCACCTTGCCGTGAGGGCCCGTAAGCCCGAAGACCTAAGCCCCAAACCCGAAGGCTGAAGTGCCCGAACCCAAGCCCTAAGCCCTAAGCTCTAAGCCCTACAGTAAGCCCCAAAGCCCCAAGCCCCGATCCCTGCTGATCCAACATGCAAGGACTTGCCCTATCCGAAAGCGATGATCCCTCAAGTCCTGGAAAAATGAAGGTAGGGTCCCGGCCCTTCAAACAAGCCCTCGCCCGTGCCGACTCCAAGCCCGTGCGAGGTGGCGTGTGTCTATTAGAGATAGGTACATCTAAAAAGAATCATGTGTATTTTTATGCCTAGTAGTCCAGTAACCTGGCAAATTAAAGGTTAACCTTTGGGATTATAAGGGCATTATACTACCCCAAAATGGCTGAAGGTTACCTACTCTACTACTAGGTACGTAAGTATACACAGACACTGCCAGCATTGCCAAGTAAGCCCCACTGCTCCCACACCTGCAGGGCAGCTGAAGGAATTGCAGGACGCGCGGACCACTGTGGTTGTGCTGGTGGTGGTGCTGGTGATGGTCGCAGCGGCGGAGGTGGCATTGGGCGTGACACCCGGTTGCTGCCACCACGGCTTCTTCGGGGTACCCGTGCAGGTCACAGGGTAGTGCGCCAGCTTGTCTGGCAGCTTGGTGGCAGGGGCGATGATGTCTCCTTGGTCATTTGTGATTTCCCCGATCTAGCATGCCGGGTTAGCACAGATATCACACACCTAGTCCGGCCCAGGTACCGCTGGGACAGTGATTCGAAGCGAGGCTGTCGCTAGCCTCGTCGCACCTGGGTACAGGGAGGACGTCACGGCTATTGCTGCACATGCGCTCTTGTCTTCATGTCCTCCACCTGAGAAAATTAGGTCCGTGCCAGCCCTGCAGCCCTGAGTAGATGCCGAGAAAATCCGAACACCCCTATACCTTTTGCTTGCCAACCTTTGAAAGCTTCCCAACCATAGAGAAGGCTGAGGCCCCGGGCGAACATCCCTCCTCCCTGGTGCAGATCTCCTCGCTGCGCAGCTCGCAGATCTGGCTTCTCGACTGATGCCTGCGCAAGCTAAGGCTTAGGATGGCTTACGGGCCTCCAGGAGTGCCCGAAGATCCCTGATGGATTGGGGACTTCGGGCCAGTGAAGTCTAGGAGGGGCTATGAAGGCACTGAGAAGGCAGGCACAACAGAACTAATTTGACTTGTCGATGTGCTCAACAGCAACGAAGCAAATGGGCGCCGCACTGAACCGACTTGCAGTTCTGGTCTTTGGTACAGAGGGCTTTGCAGGCAGCCAGGCTCACCACACCTGCCAGGAGTGTTAGAAAGGCTCTGGGATGAACAGCAACATGAGGCGGGCGGCTTCAATGGGACTTGCGAATGCGTGAATGCTGCACTGGCTGCGGCCCCGGAATTCTGGGGCGGTCCAGGCGTTCTGCTGGGTAAGGGTGCTTTTTGTTTTTGTCACGGGTGCGGGGGGGGGGGGGTGCGTTCTTTGCTTTTGCTGCGGGAGCCGGAGGGGCGGGGGGGGCATTTTGTTTGTTGATGCGGGTTGGGGGGGGTGCCTTTTGCTACTTTTTGGTTAGGGGTGGGAATCCGAGAGTGGGCGGGGTGGGGGGGGGATATGGTTTTGTTTTTGCTGCGCGTGCGGGGGGGAGGTGTGGGCGTGGAGGTGTGGGGCAGCATGGACCTGGCTTTTTTTGCAACTTTGAGAGGAAAGCAATAATTTCTCTATGTTTTAAGAGAAAACCGACTTCCTCAGTGGGGGGGGAGAGTGGGGAGGAAGGGTGGGCGCGTGCTTTTTTGGCTGCAGGGAGGTGCGCTTTTGTTTTGTTTGCTGCAGGTGCGGAGGTGCATTTGTGTTTGCTGCGAGCGCGGGGGCGACGCACGCCAGGTCACCCACTCACCGGGGTGGCCACCCAAAAACTCACCCACAGCCAAACAGCACCCACAACAACAAAGAACACGGGTTGCGTGTTCTGCTGTCGCCAGCTTCTGGCGCTGACTGCATTCTACTGCTGTCGGCATCGACCGGCCCAGCTGCTTGCGTCTAACTTCAATCGTGGAGAACAGGCCGGCAAACTCAACTCCTCTCCTCTTCGTCTACTGCAGCTGCACGACCAACCGCAACGACCAGCGCAACAACAGCCAAACCACTAAAAAACAACAGTGACCTTGACAACGGCAACCGCATGTCTCAGTTTGCTGGGGCCTGAGTTGGAGTAGATGATGTTTGATTGGCAGCGGAGGTTCTTGGCCGGTGACCACGCGGCCGCCTTATTAGACTGAGCATGTCAATTTCAAGCAGCGCTAGCAAAAAAAACATGTGTGTCAAAAACGAGCCCGCTTCTCTTTGTTCTGCCTCTCGCTCTCTATTGACCCATCGTCCCTCAGACAAGTACCAAAGAGGAAAAAAACCCTAATTCAGAGCAGCTGACCGGACCCCTATCACGATCAATCATGAACCATGCGACTGAACCATGCAGTTCCAGTGGCCTGTGAGAACTGCGCCGTTATGTGGCTGAGGTCTGTGTCAGCGAGTACCTTCGAGGTGCCGGGATGTCGTCAAAGAGGCATGGATTCTGAAATAACCGTCGTAGTTATACCTTAAGAACCCAAAGCCCCGACTTTCGTTTGAGGTGATTCCTGCAACAAGTCGGTGTTGGGTTCTGAAGATAGGTTGCACGGGCTTGAGGCCCAGGAGCTTCCAACAGGGAACCCAAAACCTTGAACCCTGAACCCGGCAACCCTAGTCCGGAGTCCGGAACACAAGAAGCCCGAAACACCACAAACTCCAAAGCCTCCACGCCCAAACAGATTCTAGGAGCTGCCCCTCGAGGACGGCGAGGTATCCCATATAGAAGCCCTTGAAAAGCAGATGGTGTAGGTGGATACAGGTCGTCCCATTCCATCTCATTCCCTACTAAGAACCAGTACGTTGCGACCAGGGGACGACGTCCCAGAGCTGAACCTCAGCCCGCCATGTCATGCAGAGGTGCAAGTTTAAGGCTTCAGGTCTTGAAACGCTTGCCACGAGGGCTGAGGGCTCAAGGCCATTGTAAGATTTTACAGGGCTTGAGTGTGTAGAGTTACGGTGGTTTGGGGTTCATGGGTTTGGGCAACACCTTCCTAAGCCATCGGTGCTCACACTCGCAGAGGCAGGGAGGCAACTGTTCGAGGGTCCACACTACCAGAAACTACCGCAAGCAAAGCGGAGGTGTTACGAAACGGGACCGCCCCAGCTAAGCTTAATCAAGCCCTATGGCACGAAGGTGCGCAGCACAACGCCCGTGCCCCTCTACCAGGATGGCTTCATGAGGACTTCCGCCTCGTCGACCACTCTGTGTTTCCTCTCTTCCCTGTCTTGCCGGTCGCCACTCGAGTGGCTACTGTGCTCAGTAGCCTCGTACTTGGCCAGGAGATCAGCTTGGCCGATTCTGTTGTCAGGTAGGAAGCGATCGTTGGGGAAAAAAAGCTGTGCCCAACCTGTCAACTTGGACAGGCGCGATCTTGCCGTCGTTGGGAATCACCGACCGAGGTGAAATTATGATTACGATCCTCGACACCACCATGCACGTGAAGGTCCAGCACTCGGGCTTTGTCATGAAAAGCGCGTCGCTTGTTCTTGTGGGGCTCGTAAGAAGGGCTACACTTAGAGATTAAATGAGATTTCGGATGTTTTAGGGCTTAACGTGGGCCTGGATATGTCTGGATCGCAGAGGCAGAACTTTCCCATGGCATCGCCCGTGGTTGTTCAGCTACACGTGACAGTTGAGGACTTGCTGCTGAACTCTGTATCCATTTCCTTCAGGACAACTTCGGCTATCACACCGAACTCGCCTTGGCCCTGAATCTCATCCCGCTGATACGAAGAAAAAAGGTCCGAGCAGCTGTCGAGACCTCCCCAACCACGCCCGGCCGCTTGGAGCCCGGGACGAGGCCCAGATGAACGGGGGCACTGCCTCGAAAGATGCGGGACGGAGGGGGGGTCCGAGTTGGAGTTCGATTCCACCTACAGATGTGAGCGGAAGGCCCAAATACACCCGGACGGATCGAATCTAATGGCAATCCTTTTTTGCATCCTGGTCTATGATCCGCTACCCGCGAATTCCTGAAGCCTTCGACCCAGCAATACGCTCCCCTAGCCCGCATGCAAACGCACGCAGGTGTCCCGGGCAACATGGAGCATGCTGCACCCTTCGTTCCCACCTTGCTGAGTCTACCCTCCTTACATTGAGTCCCTTGCTATAACAAGACCGTCTGCCAGGATGCCGTTGAGTAAAGCAGCGTCAGACCAGGACGGATCCTCACAATGGTCCAGAGATTTCAAGCCTAAATGCTGCACGCAAAGACCCCTGAAGCAACGACCTCAACAGTCTGAAAGCAAGCTCTGCAAGTTCATCTTCACGCTAAAAGCACAAAGCCATCAGATGCCTTCCGCTACTTTTGAGGGCGGCATGGTCACCGGGCTGTGCAAACATTGCAGCTGGTGGTGCATACTACTGCAAGTCACAAAAGGTACTTATCGCTCTGCGCAAACGAATCAGCTTGCAATCACAATTGCGCCCAGGGACAGCATCGGCCGCAGCCTCACAGCAGACCTTCCCATTGACAATCAGCTCGATCTTCTTTCCTTTGCCGTCGTAGCGCACCTAGCAAACACACTGGCTGCAGGTGCGAGATAAGGGTGTGAGAGGGTTTGGGATGCATCTGAGCTCAAACTTTCCCGCCCCATGCAGAAAGTGCCAGGTGGCCGTCACTGCCGCCCACTCATCCGCATACGACGACAAGCAAAGGCATCCAATAGCAGCCTGAGTTTCCGAGTCCTGCGAGAAATGGCATTAGACGATGGCTGGTAGCAGTGGCGGGAGAACCACGAGCACAACCCAGTACTAGTAACATAATGCTGCGAAACCAGTCCTTGAAGGATCGGATTCGGAGCTGCTTAAGCGGTGTCGCCACTAGCTCCCATGCACCGAAGTCCTCCGGACCACCTGAATAGGTGCGGTCAAGAGATGTCATCAAGCACGAAAGCATTCATGGGACGCGCCCTGCCTTCTTTGAGCATCACCGTCTCCTCCTGAGCATTGTCGCTCCCCTGGAGCTTGATGTAGATCACAGCCTTTGAGGTCGTTAAAAATATCATCAAATGAGACATCTCGAGGCAAGCGCACGGAACTTCTATGTGGTATGGCGTAGCGAATCGAAAACAGTCTCCTAAGTCAAGCTCTTTTGCACATGGCAGTATTCTGCTGGACGGGCGACAGCCAAACTCGAAAAACTTAACTTCTCTGGCTCTTGCAAGGAAAGCGGCCGTAAACTCAGAGGACTTGGTGCCTCCGAGAAGAAGCCCCGTCTTGCCGCCCAGATGATAGGAACGGCCTGGGATGAATGCCACACGGCGACCTGGAGAACCCCGAACCCCGCACCCTCAACCACCCAATATTTTGTCGACATTCTTCCACTTTGCCTCTGCCGAGATGCCACCCTCTGATGGTTTAGCGGGTTCGCCATCGAACTCCACCGAGCCGCCCACGGAGCCCTGATTGGCCACCTGGCAAAGGAATCATGGAGAGTCACTTAAGGGATTCCTGCTCAAGTATGGGGAGGCATGCCGACATGTCAGATCATACCAGTATATACCAGTATCAGATATGATATTCCTGAGTTCGGTTCCTATACCAGCTGATCGGCTGACATAACAACTTTGAGGGCCAATTCACTGAGGCTTCCGGCATTGTCTCACCATGTCTCTTACTCACATTTGTACTTGCATGTGCTTGTACATGTGTCTTCGAGACGGGCGCCGCATCTGCGTCGCTGCTGTGGCTACATGGATTTTCCTGACATAAGATCCTTCTGATGCCAGTCTATGGACACAGTCTGGAAAGTTAGAACAGCCTAGTATATACCCTGGAGCTGCCGCGTTCGGTGACTCAAGGAAGCAGCGCTGAAGCTACTGGCGATCCCTTCCCTTTGGACCTGCGCTGAGTTTTGCGCAGCCGCGGCATTCTCCGAGACATTCAATGCCGCGAAGCCTGTTGCAAACCTGGGCTCCGAGTTCTGCACATGCCGCATGATCATAATGGACGGTACAGCTCCAGACCCCATCAAATGCAAGTGTTTCTGGGCTATGGCTTTGCGTGGTTCATCGCGAGAACAGCTATACTGGATGGAGTGCCAAAGGCAAGGAAACACCATAAGCACGCCTGATTGCATGCAGGTCACTTTCTGCAGCAAAGTTCTCCTTAGCATGCTGGACAGACGCTGCCAGTCTACATCTCCTTCTCGGAGCACTACAACACGCCACAAGTACTTCTTCGAGTTCCATGCATCGCAACCCTGGAACACAACGCCGCCTCAAAAGCCGAACGCTCAAAACCTCAAGACCCCCCGACATCCCACAAGCCCAAACTGCCGAACTGGGCGATCTTAGCCATGACCGTTTCCAAGCTTCGTGTGCAAGAGCTCCCACAATTTGGAGCCTCAGGCAAGGGCACTGAGTCGGCGCCGCACCAGATGCCTCGGACCCAAGGTTCCCACAATTTTGAGTCCCCACGTCACTTGGGGCACTGCACGTACGCCATACATTCCGGGCCTGCATCATGTAGAACTACATGGGTTGTAAATAGACAATAAACTGAAATGTCAATATATATATATATATAATATAATATAATATATATATATATATACATATATCTATATATATATATATGTCTGCATGTGAGCTACACAAAAGCAGGCCGAAGCAAGGACTCTTTCGCTTGGGAAATGTAAATGAGGCGAGCCTGTGAACATGCTCCGCATTCAAATCTGTTTCCTGCGTCTTCCTACGTCCTACATCTAGCAGGGCAAGGTAAGCCGGTAAGCCCAATATCGCCAACCCCTATACAACCCTTTCCCATACAGGCCCTGGACGTGAAACCAAAAAGACCAGGAGGGTTTCGGCTCTCGCACTCGCACAAGGCAGGCAAGGACGCGGTCGGAAGGTTCTCACTATGACAATCCGCCAGATTCCCACTCAAGCGCAGGAGGGTTTAGGGCTCAGGGCCTCAACCCTAAACGCGAAACTGCCTTTCGCTAACAAGCACAGAAACTGCCGCAGCCGTCGCAGTCTGCTGTGGCCGGGCAGACAAGGCGTTTCGAAGAGGGCTCTGCCTGCTGGCAGGTGTCCCGACTCCTTGGACGGGCTTGAGGCTTTCAGGATTTAGGGAAGCGTCGGGAACCTCGGGGTGAAAGCTTGATGGGTTGTGGCTTTATAATGGGTTGTTCATGGTTGTTATTGTGTAATGGGTTAAAAAGTGCTGTAGGCTGTAAGTGCAGTACTTCGCCGGCATCAGCAGCCGTCCGGTGCTCCTTGCTCCTCGTGTTGTATATTCTAGTGTACTTTATTGAAGTATACCATGATTCATTGTAAGGTCCGTTCTGGCAAATTGGTAAACCCCCCCCCAAAAAAAAGGCTCTGTCAGACTGCGGCCAGGGAGCATCTGCTTTCCGGTGGCTTTGACCTGCAATCGGCGAATGCTTACGCAGCAAGAATCCTTATTGGTTTAGGTTTGCCCAAACCCTAAACCCTGAACCCTGAACCCCAAACTCTTTTCGCAACTGAAACTTGGTGACTGCCAGAAACCCTTTTAAACTGGAAGCTGCTGCCAGAAACCCCGAACCCCTAAACACATGATTGGATACACTTTCACGCTTCCCGCCTGGCATGTCACCGACCTGGTTTCCTCGACTGTCGCCAAGCCGCAGCTTGGGCTGCACTCCTGCGCTTGGTGCCCATCGTAGGGCCTCTCGTATCGGGGCCTCAATAACTAGAATAGGGTTGGTCTTAAAGCGAAAGGTGAAATGACGAACTGCTCCATTTACCAAGGAGGGCTGAAATTCGAGGATGTTGGGGGAGAGGCGGGGGGGGTAGTGCAGACGGGGGGTACTGATTGGCCCACAAAGAAACCACTTGAAGCCGCAATCTGCCAAGCCCTTTTGGCTGTCCTTGGTTTCATCCCAGTTCTCGAAGACCCACGAAGCCATGTTGCAGCACTCGTCGACCTGGCGAGCAGGGATTTCCTGTCAAGTGTGGGCTCTGACCAAAGCTGAGACAGCCCTATCAAAAAACCAGTAGGGTTGCGAACGTCACTGCACTTGTGAGCAAAATCCAAGCGCTTCCAGGTGCACAGGAGAGAAAACCCGGAGCTAAGCCCTTTTGCCTCGCAAACGCCAGCGCACCGATCGAGCCGGTCCGCGACGGGCTTCAACAAGTAGCCTAAGTGGGGATATGTGGAGATCTTCGGAAGTGCAGATCGTAAGTGGTCCGAAGTTTTAAGGTGTTGTCAAGTTTTCGTGCCCTTGTCGCTTCATGCCAGCTGGACCTACAAAGCAAGCAAGACCTGCTAGACAGCCATGGGAACTGTGAACCATTGCGAACCTGGTCTTGTGAAGCTTTCCTCCCCAAAGGCTGCACCCATCCGGCATGCCTCGCGGACAGAGGAAGAAGTCGCAGGTGGCGATGGTGGTGGTGGAGGTTGTTGTGCCAGTCGTGGTGGTTGTCGTAGTCTCCGTTGTAGTGGTCGTTGTGCTGGTGCTGGTGCTTGTGGTCGTCACCTGCAGCACATGTCCCGAACCAAACATCATACTTCTGACAAATTGGAAAGCTAACGAGCTGACATCACAACCTCAGGCCCTAGACACGTGCTGTATGCGGCGGCGGCTGCTGCTGTTGCTGCTGCTCCTCCTCCATCATGTGCCCCAATGCCCTTATACTGTAGCAACTCAGCCCATCTGTCGCTACAAAGCTCACGGCTTGAGGGAAAGGTTTGCATGTTCCGTTGTCATGCATTGGTCTTGGAAAGCATGCACTGGCAGCCATTGGCAGTTAATAGTCACCCATCGGCCGGGCCAACCCCGGCTGCAGTTACGGATGGTCGGCTCTAGGACACAGCGCACTCTTGCTTCACGGGTGTCTTGGTGGAATCAAAGCCTAAACCCCAAAACCCTAAACCCTAAACCTTTTTTGCATCCGGACTTGGGCAGTCGACCCTTAAACCCTATTTTCTCAACCCTTGAAGATGAGAATCCCTCCTCCCTCTCACACCGCAAATGAAAGGCCGTGGGTGGCCAGACACACAGTCCGGCCCAGCGGCACACAGCGGGGTTGCCGGACAGAGGATGCGCGCTGTCGCCGGCTTCGGCCCTTTAGGGCTTAAGAGGGATTAAGAGGTTTAACAGGGTTTCGTAGGGCTTCATGGGGTTTGATAAGGTTTATTAGGCTTACAGGTTTTTTGTGGTTTTTGCGGCACCCGGGTGTAGGGTTTAAGGTGCCTCGCGGACTGTCACGCCACTCTGGGGTTTAGGGGTGTGTTCATCGAGCTCTAAAGGCTACCAGCCTGCCTGGCCCTTGCTCACCCCACTTTCGTGTCTGCTGTGGAAACGCTTGTGCTTGGACTAAGGATTGGGCACTCACATTTACGCGAGCACACACTGTATCATGGGATGTCATGGGCTTGAAACCCGAATCTGCCTTTGCAGAGATCGTCGGCCACGACCTTTCCCGTGTCAGGCTCGTTGCAAGTCACAGGCCGCTCCTGCGTCTGCTGACCTTCATGGAAAGCTTAGGGCTCAGGGCTTGGGGCTTATATACGGCTTATAAAATTTAGGGGCGACTTCTTTAACTCCGATCATCAAGAGACTTCCATGGCAAAGAGCCTCCGCGGTGCTGTGATGTGGTTTGGGAGCCCCGAGATTCTGTCGGATTCCTGCGCCCTCTCGAAAACTCCTTCATTTCTTTTGCATCCTCCTTTCGGCAGCGTTCGGCCGCCAGCTCTTGCTACTTCAGATTTCGCCGTGTGACGGCGACTATGCAGAAAAATCACATCGCAAATGGGCGATCGGGTAGGCTGCAACGAAGTGATTGTTCATCATCCTCTTCACTGCGGCATACGCAAATGTTCTGCATACATACGGCACCAAGTGCACCCTAGGCAAAACTAGTCCTACATTGTTTCGTATGAAGCTGTTCTGTGGAGAGCCGGGCGTTGCTTCCGCGCATCATGCATAACTGATTTTACCGCTGGCTCAATGTCACATCTAAAGGCATAACTTCTGCGGAATCCATATGCTTGTGTACAAAGCAACAACCCTTTCAATGGAGCATGCCGGTGTTGTGATTGTGTTGAGTCCCATATTCTGCCGCTTGACGAAAAAGCGCTCCTTGTTCACGGTTCACAGACCCAAGCTACTGAAGCTACTGCACAAACGAGTTCAGAATCGGATGCATGTAATTAACATAGTCCGGGCGGATGAGCCGACGCGACAACCCATGACAACTCATGACGACCAATGACAACCACATCAGCCACACCGCCTTGGCCGCAATCCTCGGGGCAGTCGTAGGTGGCGTTGCCCCTCGGGCTGAGATGCAATCTGCAAAAACACTGAAACTTTTGCCGAACCTGGGGACATGCCACCGGCCTGGACAGTAGTATGATATGCCACGTGCTAGCGCGCACAGGGGTGCCTCTTCTCAACCGTGCAGCGTACCGAGCCGTGACTGGCTCTGCATCACGCGGAGCTATGTCGACAAGGCACCAGGGGCTGTAGATCCACTCCGGGCATGCCTGTGTCGCAGAACAGGCGACCTGGATGACGAGCCATGCAGCTACATGGGCTCGCCGAGCAGCATCTCCCACAAGGGTAATTAACTCTTGATGAGCTCCTCTCTTGATTAAAGGCACCATGCTACGCAGACCCGTTTTCTGAGATGTTTGCTTCGTATGCGACAAACCCTGCAACCTCTATCCCGCGATGGATGGCAAGAGGCTGCCCAAAGCCCTGGTCAAGAATCGCTTACTATGTTTGGAGCTCTGGCCACATAAACCACAGGTGTCTCAGAAAGTCAACCTTAGTGGAGGGTGGGGGAAAGCAAGGACAAAGGGGGCAAGAAATGGGGGGGGAGCTTCGCAAGTGACGTGAGTTCTGACAAAGGGACTTTAAGCGTCCAAGCCCTGCAGGACATCGGGCTGGCAGAAGTAAGAACAAGTCTTTTCGGCTCCCCAATTGCAAGCTCACAGCCCTAAGTCCCTAAGCCTAAGCTTGCTCATCTCACACCCTGAAGCTCGGACTGCACCCAGATGGCAGCAAGCTGGCGCTCCTGCCCTTGCTCCTGCCCTTGAATGCCACCAGGCTAAACCAAAAAAATGAAACAAGGAAGCACATCAGTCACAGGGCAGGGCGGCCTTGCCGGAGGGCGGCTTGGCTTCGGCACAGAAGCGCTCCTCCACGGCGCGGCCGGAACCATCCTTTTGAGCGCCGGGACTTATTCCCTAACAGCAACCCTAAACTCGTAAACTCTAGGGCCGTCTACCTTTTTTGGAGGCCCAGGCTGTGTTAAGAAGTCTGCCCCTTCCAACTGGCCATGCTGTGTGCATCTTGCCTCGCAAGTCACTGTGCGATTGCTGATCCTTGGTGTGCACAGGACGTGGCATGCGCACCCATTGCGGCACAAAATGCGGCGGCAAGAACTGGCTCCTCAACACAAAGTCAAAACGACCTGAGTCAGCTTCTCTGCCGTTGAACCTACAAAGAATGAGTGTGCGAATGCTAGCGGCCCGAGGCTGAAAAACAACGAACCTGGAACCACTCTCTCGTGCGTGCAACACATTTGGAATCCAGCTATGAAAACCTCTGGGCCCTAAACGGCCCTAGACCTCACCCTGAACCTTAGAAGCTCTTTGGCACAAGGGGCTTTTCCACCTCGCCACACTCAGTGGAGCACTTGCCCGTGTTTGACCAATCTCCGGTCTTCCACTTTGTGGCCGAGCAGCACACGGCCCTGGAGGTTTTGGACTTCAACTCACACTCAGGTGCACAGCAGGGGTGTTGCCTTGGTCAAGCTTTGCAGGGTGTCTCGGCTCTAGCGGCAGGAGGCTACGGGCTTTCGTGTTCAACGACTTTCGGGACAAAGAGCGAGAAGGAGAAAAGAGCTTGCAACCTCTAAACTAATCAGCCAGAAACCCAAACCAATCTTGCTCAGGACGGGTTCGCGAGTCGGCACTTTGCTGCCAAGGCGCTCTGAACACGTCATGCCATCTTGGATTGAGGCACGTGGTATGTTCACAAAACTTGATTCGTTGTGTTGCTGCTGGGCATGTCAACACAAAGCTTGGTCGAAACCCATGGCAGTATCGTCTGGCAGGCTGGGAGGCCCGTGTCGCGGCTGTTCTAGATTCTACTCGGTGCTGTCTCTATAATCGATTCTGGCCGCTTCAGTTCATGGTGCTGAGAACGAGGCCTAATACCGAAATACCCGAATGCCCCAAGCCCAAACCCCAACCCTATTCTGAGGTATGTCTGCGGTCGCGCCGCCGCAGATGCGCGCCGGGAATCGCACCGTGGAACCCTCGGGGCAGTCTTCAGCTGAGCACACCTGCATGCGTTGCGATCTTTCCACATATTACAGAGAGAATGAGAAACAGAGAGAGAGAGAGACACACACACATTCAAGATCATGCAGGTCGTACTCTGAGCAGCATCCCATACACTTAGTGTAGCTCCAACTGTCGTGCTGGGCATGTCGTCTGTCTGCCTCTCTTCAAGCCAGAGACGCTGCGATAAAGACATGCTCACAACAAACCCCTCAGCCTTGTCGCAGCATTCCGCAGTGGTGCACATGGCACCTGGCATCATTGGAGTTATGCGAGAATTGAGTGAAGAACCGGGAAGATGCTTTCCCTGTCACCTCGAACAAACCTGACGGGAAGACAATAGCACTGCACACTTGCCCAAGCTTCAAGCCCGTATAGGGTTAAGGGTTCCCTACACCCTTAGTTCGTTACTGTAGCGGCCGGTAACTTTAACAAAATGAAAAAGGTGCTCTGGGCGATGGTGCTGGCAACTTTTATCCTCGCGTGTTCAACCACTTGCGCCCTGGATGTTTGACAGCAGCTTGAGGATTGAGGCTTGAGTTTGCTGTTGGGGTCCAGAGGGGTAGGTGTTTGAAATCGTGGGCTCACTGTGATTCTATGTTAAGGGGCATAATGGGCATATTAATATATTATGGGTTTAGGACTTGGAGCTTCTGGTTCCGGGCCTGTGCGGATGGACGAACGTTAAAGGAAGATGAGCTCCGGCTTCAGAGAGCTGAGAGCTTACGCAGCCGAACAACTGCCTTGGCAGGAGGCGGGAACCAAGTTTTTCAGCACATAGCCCCGGCTGCAGTCCGACTCCTGGGCAAGGAGGTCGAACTCATGCCCAAATCCTGAAACCCTTCTTGCGACCCCAGACGGCTACAAAACTGCTGCAGAACCCTGAGCCTCAGAATGAACCTCAAACCCTGAGCGCATGGGGGCGCTTGTAGGCAGGCATACATACTTGAGAAGCAAGCCGCGGCGGCCGAAATCTGCGCTCATGCCAGTGTGAGCACACATGAGCAGACAGGAATACTCGACCAACCGTGTCGGGTTGTCTAGAGATTATGTATATAGTCTACGTGGTCAGGTATCTGGTGTCTCCCCTTTTTGTGGTATGGGCCGGCAGGGAGGTCTGGCCTCGCAGATGCCGCACTTGGGCGTCTCCTCGCACTTGGTGCGCGCCGTGCTTGGCTTCACTTCCCTGCAAAGGCTCTCGTCCTCCAAACAGGCGCTGGCTCAGGACTTTCAGAAGTGATGGCAACTCAGTGATCGCACCTCCATGATGATGAAGGATTATGCCGATGCTAGAGGGCATGTTGTTATAGGGCTGCTAATCTCCAAAACAAGAAAAGTCACAGCCATGAACGCATGGAGGATGGTAGACTTGAACTGGCTCAAGCCTCCAAATCCCCCGAGGCCTCGGGCCGGAGGTGTATGACGGTTGTTCGAAATTGCTTCACGGCAAAACGACCATTCTTCGCGAAAAGCAATTTGTCTTTCGCGGGCCCATCGCGGACTTTCGCGGAGCCTATTTTACACCCGTATTAGTTTCAGCACAAACAGTACTAACACAAAACTTCGCGAAAGCGTGATTTGTCTTTCGCGGGCCCATCGCGGACTTTCGCAGACCCTCATTTCCATCATCTGATGGTCGCCCCAGTATAACTCGAAGACAAGGGGGGTTTTGAACAACCCTCGTATAGGTTGTCAGAACAGGCACCCCCCTCCAAATCCTCCCCACACCCAAAGCCCTTTTTTGGACCCCTTTTTTTGGGGAAACCGTGCTCCGCAAGCGGACGGTTCCGCAGGACCAGAGGCAGTTGAACCCCCCCTCCCAGCAGACCACCCCCCCCCCCCCACCCCCCACCCACCCCCCACCCCCCCCCCCCCCCCACCCACCCCCCCCCCCACCCCCCCCACCCCCCCACCCCCCCCCCCCCCACCCCCCCCACACCCCCCCCCCCCCCTCTTCTCCCCCCACCCCACCTCCCCCCCCCCCCCCCCCCCCCCCCCCCTCCCCACCCTGCCAAAGAGTCGCCTTAAACCTTAAGGGGCCTGGCTCCGAACCCTAAACCAAAAAAAACCCTCAACCCCAAAGCGTGAACCTTGAGCCCTAAACTAACCCTCAACCCCAAACCATAAACCATAAACCCGGAACCCTCAACCCTCAACCCTCAACCCAACCCTTATTGCTTGGGGTCCAGCGACTTGGGCGCTGCGGAATCACCATGCTCACGCGGATGCGCTGGGCCGGGCCGAGGCGGGTCGCGTAGCGTTAAAATTACCTGCACAGGTGTGAGTTCAAAAGCCGACACCAGTGTCCAGCTTCAAGTTGCTGTCGAGGTCCCAGCACTCAAGCTTCCGAGTCTCGTACCTCAGATGACAAGATACTTCCGAACCTATTCTCATCAGACGCCGCAGCGCCATCCCTGGACTCCTTGGGCAACTTCACGAGACTGGGGAAGTATGGAAACCTTCAACCTCAAGTACCTCAAAGTCCGTCTGTGGTGCTACCCTGACCGCCTGAACCCAACCCTCCCGAAAAAAGCGGCGCTGAACTCCTGAACTCCTCAAATCTCTGTGCTTTCAGGGTGCTCTGCCGCAAGGCCACATTGCATGTCGCAGCTCGCCTGCGGCCATGCGTCCTGGGCGCAGGGCTGATGGAAAGGGGTCGCCCCTCAAGAGATGCAGGGGGTCTAGATGGAGGGTTCCACGGTCAGGGTGTTGGTGGGATGCAGAACAAGCTTAAGCTTCAACTTTGGTGACCTCAGGTGTCAGGGAAAGGCTTCTTCCGAACGCAGCCCTTTGCACGTCACTGTCCAAGTGGGCTGGAAGCCCCTTTAACTCCGAGCACGCCGAAACGCGGCCAGGCAACATACTTCCAAGCAGGATTGGTCGGCTCGGCGCAGCACTCCTCCACACCCCATCTAAGTCGGGAGTGCGTTAACTATATCGAGGCACCTTCCGAACTCCCCACCCAAAAAACAACACTACACGTCATCATGAACCATGATGGGAAGAACAGCTTGGAAGCAAAGTTGTAGGAGATCGCTGCCTCCTGCGAGAATCCTGTGAGTTGCTGCTGGTTCGGCTTGGGGACCTTGCCATTCTTGGCAGAGCAGTCATCCTCTTTGGAGGCTACAATGTAAAATTCCATTGATAAGGGAACCTAGACCTAGAATTTAAGAAAGGGCAAAGGGTACCACTGGGCTACTAGTACCCAGCAGCAGTGAGAGGCGATAGAAATTCTGGGCCTCTTTGGCACCCTGAAGTGCAAGGATTGTAGAGAACCAACGGCCCATAAATCAAGACCAGTCCGCCCATATGTCATATGTGAAGACCCCATGTGGCAGAGAGTATATACCCGAAGTTTACTGTGTTACATCCAAGCCTCCTTTGGCCCTAATGCCCCAAGCCGAAAGTAGCGCCTGCTTCAGCCAAGGTGCAGTGGTGCTGTTGCCTCGGCTGGGCAGGCCCGGTGCATGTGGGGTAGATCTATGGACCCCCTGTTCGAGACCCAAAACAACTCTACGGAATAGACTATGTGACTATGTATGGAAACCCTCCAAAGTCTCCAGAGTTTGGATCGCCCCCTCCCCCCCCCGTCCCCCGCACACGCAATTCTGCACTCCTCAGCACCCGAAGGAAGAGGTGGCAAGCGCCTAATGTTGCTGACAGGTTTAGTTATTGCTTTCACACCTGCACAGCCACGCGAACCACACTGCAGGGCTGGTTCATCGCAAGTAGAAGTGGGCATCCAAGCCACAGGTGAAGTACCAGCACCTGGTACAGCAGTCTGCAGTGCACGTGTCCGCTGGCGCTGTCGTTGGCAAGGTTTCCTGGGAAGCAGGTGCGCATCGACCCGGCATCAAGCTTCTCATTCGCGGATGCAGGTCCCACACGCACGGATACCACCATGCTCATCTACTTCGAAGATCCACTTTCTGCTGAGCTAATCCGCCGAGCACTGGAAAACTCCCCCATGAGAGTCCCCTAATTTGCCAAGCAACATACTCGGCCTGCTTGTACGACTGCTTCCCTGGCCTCGGGCAAGTTACGAGCATGTGAGCTTCTGCCGTTCACTATCAAAGGCAGCACATCTGGCCACTTGGTTACACATGCCGAATCAACATGCTTGCTCAACCCTGAACCTATGTCCCAAGGCTTTATACCGCTGAGGGGCCTTTCGAAGTTGGGCTCCTCACAGACTTTGCCCACAGAGGGTAGCTGAGGCTTCCAGTCCTTGTTCGGTGTATTCTGGGCTAAAGCTCCTGGGTATAAGGGTATAAGATGCAGCCTGCTTTGTGATTTCGACTCTCACTCTCCTGCAAAGCAGGCAACTGCTCACCTGAGGCCACGCCGCAGTGCCGTTTTCGACTCTCACACTAGCAAGCGCGGGCGAGGATCTTGGTACGAGCTGAGGTGAACAGTATGGTGCCCCAGACTCTGAAACGAGTGCACTCAAGCAGGATGCAGGGCCGTTTAATAAGGTTTGTTGCCCCCACCTACCACACTGCCGAGGGCCAGACATTGGGACATGACGAAACCAACTAGTCGGTTAAAAGCTGGGGGTTTGGGGTTTTGGAGTTGGATTTCTCACATCTGCGACAGGCCAGGAAGGGCAGCCGGGACTGGCCCAACCCCTGAGGCCGTCCACGACGTACATGCTCAGCACAACTTGCAGCTGCAAAAAGAGTGGTTTCGATTGTCGCTTCGGGTTTGGAGTCTGAATCCTGAGGCATCTTGCCAAAGCACCTTGTAGTACGGATATGAAAGCGCCCACGAAGTCACACTGTGCACCTTGTTCCTGCGAGCGCAGCTCCGTCTTAGCAAGAAACAGCTTGTGGAGCGAAAGGCTGCAAGCAATGAGTTTCCCCAAGCTCGATCCCTCAACCACGTTATATGAATCTTGCATGCCTGATGTCACTGGCTGAGCAAACCTGCCGGCGCGCCTGCACTCTGTGATGGCATCACTAAGATCGTCTGCGTTCTTGTTGTGCTCCAAGGCATCCAGCAAGCACCCGATGCCTGGGTCAGTGAGTCTCAGGAAGCCCCTGGCACTCTCTTTGGTGGAGCCATTCTTTGTCTGCGCTCTTCTCTGAAGCGGTTGCCCATATAGCCACCAGTACCTTTCTTGCAACATTCTCCTAGGGGCCAGACGTTTCATGGCCCTCCACTGCAGCAGCATGGATCGATGCATGGACGTGGCTGTGGTGTTGGCCTCATCATTCATAAAAGTTGCACAACAAGCATGGGCAGAGCACAGAAAGACCCGAGCCAGCGACATCCAAGTAAGTTGTGGTGGCTTCAACTAGGCAGGAGTTGTTCTGCGAGCAGTGGTAGTACCTGGGATGCGTTTCGGGCCACAGTTTAACCTTGAACACCTAGCACCATAAGAGTATGTACGGCCCTAAGTCCTTTTTCACCTCTGACTTCCCACCCGCAAGCCCCAACCCCATCCATGCACCCACCCACAAAAAACAGGTGCGCATCTGGGGCACTCAGTCCAGGCATCGCACGTGCTCATGTCCAGAGTCCTTCAGGGAAGGGTCTGGCGGGAACCAGCCACAGGGTGCCACTGCTAATAGTGATGCTGAACCACATGTCCTCTGGACGGCATTGCAAGATGAGCCTCAGAAAAGAGCGAAGGTGCGGTGCATGGAAGGGTCAGGCTCCCCCTTTTGCCAAGGCACGCTTGTCTCTCCAGGTTTCCTGGGCTCATGCAATTACTTCACATGCAGAAGAGGCCTAGAGTTTCGGAGGGCTTTAAGAAGTGTGGGGGGATCAACACCAGGCCGAGGTCTCGAAAACTAAAAAATGCACTAGTTAAAAAAAAAAAAAAACGCTTTTTTTGTCCCTCTAACGCCTTTGAGACGCTTTTAAGTAAACAGCAAGTATTATCGTGAAAAAACCAAAAAAAAGAAGAGAAGGTGCGCCAAAATCCCTCCAAGCATCGTTGCCGCTTTGGCAGGCATTGACCTTCTCAGTTGCCCTCTGAGTGGCATTCGTGCAGGCCTCTTCTGTCACGACCCATTCCTGTATGGACAGGGCTCTCAATGTTCTGCTACACTTTAGCTTCAGGCTTTCAACGCAAGGTTTGCCAGATTGCTTCTCCACCGCATCCTACCATATGCAACCTCATCACCACCCCTCCAGGACTTAGATGCATGTGATAGCTACACGGCAACCGTATGTCTTGTGCTCCGGAGCAACTAAGCGCCCGTCATGAACTTTCCTTAGTCCAAGCAAGCATACTTGGGCAGACTTCGGGCCCTGCAATCGGTCGTTCCAAGCGCGGGAATCACACGGTTCGTCAGAACTGTGCGAGCTTTGCGCCGAGCATCTGCATGTAGAAGTTGCGAATACGCCTGGCGTGCAGCTCGTAGGACACGTCGCTCGAGTCCTGACTGAACTATGGCACGAGCGAACTCCAAAGCAAGACGGTCCCGAGATGTCCCGTCACTTCCCCACGCCCCGCCTTGTCACAAACTGCAGGGGCCTCCTGTGGATAGGTATCGACACCTGGCAAGTTGTTGCGTGCCAAGACAGGACCCATCCTTACACAAGAAGCTGGCGCCTTTCAGTTTCGCACACTTCTTGACTTTTACCTCCGTGAGAGCTTGTGCTTCGTCGCAAGTGTTTTTCCTCGGTTCTTTCGGGTCGGCCGAGAACAGCATCATTCTCAGAGAAGCCGCACGCAAAGTTGACAGCGTACTATCAAGACCATAGACCAGCTGTGCAACGGTTCGGGGGAATCTAGCTTAGTGCAAAGTGGATAACGTACTAGCAAGACCGCAAGGGAAATCTATCTTCGCCTTAGCGCCCTATGCTTGGTACATAATCGCTTCCCCTGAATACCAAACCTCCCAGCACTGCTTTGATCCCGCCCACCGCGCACTGCCCCTAAGCGGCTACAGCTCGGCTATACAGAAAACAAGGTTCGAGGCTAAGCAAACGCTTGAGACGAGGCTCACTTGCGCAAAGATGTTGCTCTCGTCGCTCCGGCAGGACTGGTGCTTGTCCCGGACCTGGCTCACCTTCCAAGACGTTGGCGCGGAAGCCAACTTGCTGACCCCTTACGAACTCAGAGCTCTCTTCGACCCCTCCGCGTCATCTGCGGCACTGGGCCTGCGTTGCATTCCACGGCTCCTTGCAGGAACCGAAGCCTGGAAAGGGAAAGCGCGGAAGTATGGCTGGTAGGCTCTTGTGCCAGAGAGCTCGACAACCAATGCCTCCTAAACCACGCACCAGGCTGTCCAGTCCAAACGCCCGATGAACACAGGAAAGCTGAGTTCGTTGACTCAAATGGCCGATTGAGGATTCAAGATCCTGCCATGCTAGCTCCAGCCTTTGGCCGCGTCATCCAGCATCTTCTGGGCAAGGCCTAAAAGGTTCAAGGTCTGAATCAGAAAAAATCGCAGCTCAACTTGGAACATGACAGTGTCAGCTTGGACAGGCCAGGTGAAGCATGTACCAGCTTCATGGGGTAAGGGCTCTGGACACTGGGATCTTGGCCTGGGGAACAACATGGGTGCCAGATGGTCGAGGGCATATGGTGAAGGGGCTTCAGGGGTTGAGGGGTTGAGGGGCTGAGGCAGACTCTGCTTGTTTTGTCTCCCGCCTGGCAGGGGCCCTGGGGCTGTTGGACTGGGAAACTTGGGAAGCAGGAGGGTGGCCCGCTCCAGGGTCATGTCTCCCCAATGCTCCGAATCATCTATGTGGCCGAAACCTGCTAAACCGACTTCCGTAAACCTGGTCTGCTGTGCTCCATAGTCTTTCTTGCCCGGTAGCTATACTGCCGTCCGATGTCGGGCAGCAGCTCCTGCGACGTGAACCAACAGTGCACTCACAGGCGCTACAACCGCTGCAGGCATGCTGTCGCATCCTGACAACATGCCGTCATTCAGGACAGTATATACTAGCAGATCCACACAGCAGCAGGCTTGGCATCAGGTTCCTTCTCGAGCATGGTCCGGATACCTGAAAAATAGAGCAGCTTTGTACGGAACATGACAGGAGTTGTGGCCGAGCTGCTGTCGATCATCGGCTTGAGGTAGGACCGCGTGCTGTTGCTCGCATTTGTGAGCCGAAGCACTGATACCTGGTGGGAGAGATGGTCTCAAAATCTCTGGACAAGGCATGTTCAGCCCAAACACCACCAGCACAAACCAAAGACGTACAAAGACCACACCTTCCGTGGGGCAAAGTCACGTTCAGCAAACAAACGCACAAACAGGACCGCAACATTCAACAAACGTGAAAGGTAGCACATATCGATGCCACTTTCAGCAAACAAAATCACCAACCGCACGGCCCGAGTATCACTGCCCAACACCGTCAACTGCAAGTTCAACATTAGAACCACCCTCGCTCAGCAAATAAACAGAACACAAGGAGCAAACGAGCCAACGACGAAGCCACAAGTGATCGCATGACAGGAATACCGCGGCCAAAGGCCGTAAGTAAATTCGACATGAAAGATCAGCTTCAACAAATGCTGAAGCCCGATCAAGCATACGACGCTACAAATCATGAGAAGTCACCAGCTGCAGGGCTCGAGTGCCACTGCTCGACGCCGTTAATATTACAGCAGAAGATAACTTGATCCAGAAAATCTCAGGGATGGTAATGGTTTAAGATAACTTGACCCAAAAACTCTTGGGGACCAGGGCTTGCGAGTTGTAATGTTGGAAGACTGCTTGACCCAAAAACCTTAAGGATCCGGGCTTGCTACGTGCAGTGCCAGTGTCAACATACGAATTTTCTAAATGAACTAGACGGGTTAAACTGGAGGTTTTGCGGCTTCTCAGACCTCGAATCGAAAACTGTGCTTTTCACTAATTTAGATGTTGTATTTGATTTAGTTAAACCAATTAAGCGATTTAATTTAACTAGCTCTACTCTTATTTCGCTGATTCAAGTGTCGAACCCTCCAGGCGAAGTGTGGTGTCGCTGTTGCACTACATACAAACATACGGGGCAGACACTCTGGTCCATACATTAGTGCTAGACGCACATACAGGAACGACGTCTGAATTCAACTTTAGAAAGAGCCACAGTCAGCAAGCGCAAGAGATTCTTTCTGGAAACGCCTAAATGCTGACGTTTGCACGTGGGTAGGACTCTAAATTAAGGTCCCTTTTGTAGGTCCTTGTTAGAAGAAGGGTACCGTATTATATGAGGGACTCTAAAGGGGACCCTATTCACAGAACTATCTAGGTGCAAACGGGCTTGCCTGTGGCTCGCTTGCTGTTTGTTGACCGTCCTGTTTGATGAACGTGGCTCTGCTGTTTGTAACTTTGGGGTGCCGTTTGCTGACCATTCTTTGTTGAATGTGGCCCTGGTTTGTTGAACGTGCCTACTCCTTACCTTCCAAACCTTCCCGCCTCCAGCGCATCGAGATCCAAGGGCAGCCTTGGCCCTTCATGGGCGGGCGCGAGGCCTGAAGAGGAGTATCGTGAGCACAGTCTTCGGACGTCAACACTCAAAGCTTCCCCATCTTCCCCCTCTCAACAGGGAATGAGGGAACTGGGTTCCTCGGGCCCAGAACTGATGGACTCCCGCCGAATGCGATTCTACAAGGCGGGCTCGAACTCCACATGCTGCCAGGAGGGTGGGGTTTTTGGCTTCAGGGCTGGCTCAGCCCTGGCATGTGCTCCAAATGCGAGTACGCCCGAAGCCCTAAACCCTGTACGCCTCAGGTTCCAGTCATAGCTACGATTCTCGTCCCCACCCTTCTTGGCCTGATCGGGCTGCCTCCCCCTAATAGCCTTTTGCCTTAATCACAGACCCTGCATAAGGACATCACAGAAGTTAGGGACTCTCTGCTATGTCTAGGACTATGCTTGTATTATTCTCATCTCTGTCAATCTTACTACTGTTTCTAGCGAGTGCAGTGGGCCCTGACTCGGGGCCCAAGCGGGCGGAGGCCGCCAGGGAGGTCGCAGCCCCGAGCTTCCTTCCGGAGTTTGGGAGATTGCACGAGGGTTACTAGGTTTAAAAAGGGGTTTGCAAGGCTTATAAGGGTTTGTAAGGGCTACAAGGTTTCGCCACCCGCACTGCACACACCATCGGGCGTTTGGCTTATATGGTTTGAGGGTTGCATCTGGGATGATCTGAGAGGAGCCGGGTTGAGGGGCTTCAGGGCTCAGGGATTGAACAGGGGGATCTGGACCCGGCACATGACTGTCGCAAGTAATGCTCCACAGCCAAGGCTTACCCAGATCCCCAGCTTTCAACCAAAGTTTCCGGCGAACGCACAAAAAGTTTATGGTGCATGTGGGGGTCTCGTCCCCCCCAGGCCCACCTGGTCTCTGCTTGAGGCAGACAGGCGATGACAAAAACGCCCAGCAGGGCGAATTGCTTCATTGGGAACCTCCGAGACGTCAAGTGCGAGCTGTTGCTTGGTACACGAAGCCTCAACGCAAGTCTGCCTGAGGCAACCGGCACGTGGCGGTGTTGCCTCAGGCGGCACTCGATGGCTTACGCCATGTCCTGTGAGCCACATGGCTTGGGCACAAAGCACGTTCGCCCAGCCCTGGCAATGGTGAAGCTACCAGTGGCGCATGGGACCGGGTTTGATGTTCCTCCCCGGGTACTTCGGTACTTGCTCCAACTCCAAGCTTAAAAAAGTTCGCCGAAGCAGATGAGCAGCAACTTTTGATTCTGGAGGTCTGCATCCGGCAAAAGCAACTATACTTGGACCATTGGCTATTCCAAAGGTGCTTCCTCTCTTCAAGAGGATTTTGTGTGCGTCGCCGACAGGCCTAAAACGGCAGTGAGACCTTGTGCAGCCTGCGGGCCGATGGCCCCGAGCAAAACTGCGTGTAATTTGTCAAAACATGCGAGGTTTTTGAGACAACGAGAAGTTTACCCTACAAGTAAGATGTGCCTATACACTGGCAGCAATTCTATCGGTTCACGCTCTTTCTACAGTTCGTGCCCTATAATTATGGTCCCGCACATTGCCGATGTGGCTCCAGTCTCCACTTCATGTACACACTGCATCGCGCCGTGATGCCAGATTTCGGCACTGGGCACGAGGACAGCACTCGAAGGCGCGCATTCACGTGCCAAGACAACGTCATAGAAACAATCTTCAAGGCACTATGCCAGCAGATTGGGGGTTACTTCAGGGATCGCCTGTGCGTTGGAGCTCATGTCAAGCTGCAATTGCTTGACCCCCAGTTTGAGGCAAGCGAAATCCTTAGGTGCGGGATCATTCCAACTGCAGAACAATACGTGTTCGTCTTAGTGCTGTTCATAACTTCAGGTCTCACAAATAGATGCAAGGCTACAAATAATGCGTTATAACTTTCGCCTAGGCGTTATCACTTTCGCCTACTTTCAGGATCCTGGCATTGGTATCTTGCCAGTGCCCAGGCACGTACTCTGTGATAACATTGTCTGGGCCTCTAGTACAAAGGATACGTAGCGTTTTCTCTTAGCCTTTGTCTCAGGAGCTCTCGAGACATCTTTCTACTCGGTTCCTTGGTGTCCCCTCTGCGTCCTGCCGTACGGGATTCCTCTTCACGGGAGTCCTTTTGAGGGGCAGAATTCGAGTTAACCACCGGCTACAAGGCCTCCACTTTTTGTTTTCTCTTCTTGAAGTTGGTTTCTCTGAAACTGCAATTGCAAGCTGCAATAGCGGGGTCAGCTGCCTGGGTGAGTCTAAGTTGGTCAGCTTCCTGGAAGCAGTTCACCGCCAATTTGTCTGTGTCTGCCTGACCGCAAGCCGTGTTAGTTGATTCTTGTCGCTCTGCCTGGCACTTCTTCCTGCCAAGGAAAAGCTAGCTTTGGCCTTTAGCGGCAGCCATGGTACGACTCTGTATTGGGCGCTTAAGATTTCATCCTGATGCGTGCTCCGCATTCTTCCCAGGGGGCCATGTCCAGGCTGGCACTTAGCTGCAGCAACTGGCGTTCCCAGTCTAGAGAAAGTCTGAGGTGCACACGAGCTCGTCCACGAGCTGACGGTGGCTGTCCTGCCAGGGAAGTACCCAGTCGAACCACGACTTTCGTAAACAGGTACTTGTAATGAACTGCTGGGAAAGTTCAGCTAGCCTGTTCACGCACTGGACGCATGACCCAAATAGCACGCGCACGTATGACAGCCACCAAAGCTCCTTGGACCTTACTTCCTCGCCCTCTCCGGCCCAACATCTCTCCACACGTTCCCTCGGGGCCTGCAGCCGCAGGGTGCGAAGCTCCTCAACGCGTACAGCCAAGGCAATCCAAGCAACAGTCCTTAAGCCCAGTAAATGACACACGCGAGGATTCTTAGTAGCTTGACGATCAACCCTGCCCGCCCTGGAGGCACGGATGCCCATCGTTCGGGCTCATTTTTTTTTCATTCTGGAGTTTAAAGTCGAAAATCGTGTAAGGTTTAGGGCTTCAAAGCTCACTGTGGGCTTGAGGAAGCACGCGCCTCCGCTTCAAGAAGCTTCTTCCGGTGCTCGGCATCCTGGCAAGGGGGAGCTCACATGGCACTCTCTCAGGCCAGGGGGCGTGGAGATCTCAGCAGGTTTTCTCCCCTCCTGCTGTGCCTCGGGTTTATGTCAGGCTCTATATTCTGTAGGGATCCTATAATTCCCGAATTGCCTTCTAAGAACCTCTAAGCTGCATGGAGTGGCTGGCCGACTTACCTTGTAAGCGTGCGAAAAGCCCATGGCTCGACCCAAAAACTGGCAAGACCCATGAGAGAGAAGACTGCACCAACACTGCGGGCCCTAATCAGCCCTTTTTAAGCAGGGACCGGGGTACCTGTCTTTGCAGCGGTAAACCCCAACCCTGGACCCATTGTGTCGCTCCTGGGTCAGCATTCGCAACTTGCCCTGGGCTTCGGCCAAAGCGACCTCGCCATGCGGCAGCATCGGAAAGCCAACAAAGTAGGGTTTGGGGTTTGTTGGCAGCGGCGGCGGGGGTCTCAGCAAGAACAGCAGCAGCAAGAGCAGCAGCAGCAGCAGCAAGAGCAGCAGCAGCAGCAGCAGCAGCAGCAGCAGCAGCAGCAGCAGCAGCATTTTCATTTCATTTCATTTCATTTCGAACGCATGTGCGGGTTATGTCCCGCACCTTGGCGGGCATCGAGGGTGAAAATTAAGTGACCTACTCGTTCGGGACCTGGTCTGTTTCGATGTCCTGGCCATTGTAGCCAGGCAGGTTGCGCTTCTGTACACTTCTCTGCGAGATTGGTCCTCAACCTCAGCAGGCAAGCTGGCGGGCAGGCCGAGTCTGGGGGGCATCAGCTTAGCAGGCTGGCGCATGTGCATTATAAGGCATGGAGGCTTTTCTTCTGCAGTGCGAGCAGTGGTCTGGAGGTGTGATTAAGTCCAGAATTCGGACTAGAGGAACTTAGGGATTTGATGGTTCAGTTTGCTGGAGGCGACCTCACTCGCATACTGGAACCAGGCTGGTTGTCCGATGTGGGGACGCCAGAATGACAGCTTCTCGAGCTCGAAGGAGGGACCGAAGCCGTCCACGATGAGAGGAGGTGAGCATCTTGAACACTATTGCATAGGGCTTGTGCTCTTCGTAGATGTCATCATAGAGCGGATTGATGATTTGATAGAAGCGGAGGGCCATGCTGTTCTGGAAGTCTTGAGAATGATCCTCAGGGTTAGGAATGCCAGCATTAGCTTGAAATGCAGAGTTGACTTGCTTTAGCAGGGCATCCTCGAAGAGCTCCAGTAGTTCACCTCGCGAGATAACCGTGTCCGCGATCAAGGATTGAATCCAAGAAACTTCCTCTGCATTGATTTCTCGAAGCAGCCACTGCCTGTATGTGACCAAATCTTCGCGAATTTGGTCCTGGTAGTGAGTAAGATGAGGCAGCAGAGCCAGGAGATGTTGGTCGTAGGACAAACCATTGAGGTGATGGTCCTGATGTTGAAAGCGCCATCCATTCTTAACTGGCGATGCCCCTTCGGCGGAAGAAGAGACTTTGAGCAGCTGCTGCACCCGGTATACTGTGGAGGCTCGCCTTAGCGCCTGCAGGTCGAAGTATTGAAGGTCCAGTTGCTTGTCATCGTGCAGACGAAGATTGACGGGGAAGTAGTCCGAGCCCTGTCCTGGAGCATACGATGGCTGTGACTGCTCAATGCCTGAGAGTAGGCGTGGAGTTGACGATCGCATGAGAAGGTGTAGATGCGACAGGGCGTTAGCAATCATAAAGTGCACCTCACCTTGGCCGAAGTGGCGCGTCAGGTACGTCCAGATGCGCTGGGTGGTAGGTTCCGCATCTTCGAGCTGGAAGGAGTTCTGGCCAGGGCCATCGTTGGTGTAGTCTCGAATCGCCTGAGAGATGAAGAGGAGCTGGCGCTTCTGATGGTACGTCAGAGTAGGAGAGCGAGGCTCTGTCAGCATCATCTCTTCATGCTTCCGTTTTGCGGCCAAGTTTCGAGGTGCAGTTTTGGGAAGGTAGAGCCGCAAGTCTCCCATGTGCCGGTGAACTTTCTCCGCGAGCAGCTTCAAGAAACTGCAGGTGCGCGAGGCTATCCGTATCTGGCGGTTCAAGTGTGGGATCGCTTCTCCCGCAGGGGTGCGTGAGGATGCCAGGTCCAGATTGCTTGCTGCGGCGGCACCAGATGGAGTTGTAGGGTAAACCGGCAGCGGTAGGAATAGAGACTCAAGAAGTACCTCCATTGCCTGTTCACGGCTGAGAACGGGGTGAAGGTCTGCCATGGGCCTAGGTGGAAGTTCGCCAGGAGGGGACCTCACTCGTGCGAACCTGAGGGAAAACTTTGCGAGAAGAGCTGTGCTTGTGAGGCTTGACGTGGAAAGATTGGAGCTACAGGCTTTTCCCCCGCAATTTGGGAAGATAGTGCAGCGAACAGGAGGGGACCTCACTCGTTTGGAAGTCTGTGGTGCTCGGATGGTCCCTAGCCCCGAATTTTGTCGTCTAGCGTCTGTTTCAGACGTTGACGATGTCGAACGAGGAGCAGTGTCAGCGCCACAGCAAAGTTCTTATAGTCATCATAGACCTGGTCGTGGAGCGGGGAAAGAATTGTGATGACTCCTTGGGCCTGCTCGTAATCTCCTTGGTCTCCTCCATATCTGTGTCGTATTTGTTGCCAGAGACTGTCAGCGAAGTAGCGATGCAGAGTATCTCTAGGTAGTAGCTGATTCGCTACCAGGTTGCGCACCCAATGGAAGTCCTCAGCGGACAGAGGGGTGGACAGCCATAGGCGATACAGTGTCAGGATCTCTCGAAGTGTCTCCTGATAGTGCGGGATCATTGAAACCAATTTGGTGTGGTAGTCCTCGTAGTCAAGCTTTGAGAGATCACGGTCTTGTTCAAGGAAATCCCAGCCATCTCGGATCTGGTCGCTGGCCGATGTAGGTGTGGAGGCCGTAATAGTCCGCAGTTGTTGTAGTAGGCGAAGCTGAAGTGATGCTCTTTTGAGCGTTCTGAAATCATATGCTTCAAGATCAAGCTGATGTGGGTCTTGAAGCCGGAGGCCTAGGGGGAAATATGCTTGGCCTTGCCAGGTCTCCGCCGTCGTTTGGGAATGCAGCTGGAGTAGGTTCCGTTGATGTGCTGGAGTGAATTCAGACCTCAGAATGACCTTGGCTTGCTCCAAAGTGCGGAGCAGAATGGCATTCAGCTCTGATTGCGAGAGCTTCCCGGTAAGATAATGCCAGGTTAAAGCACCAGCCTGATCAGCTTCAGACGTGCTCAAGGACGGCGAGCCTTCGCCGTCTTTTGTGTAGTTGTGGATCATGAGGGTGAGGTACATGATTTGCTGGCGCTGGAGGGACCCCATACTCCGGGGTAGGTGCGTCGAAGGCTGCTCGTCGTCAATGTGCTTGCGCTTACCTGCCAAGATACGTGGGCTAGCCTCTAGGGGCAGGGCTGTGTGTCTGCCCTCGCGCCAAGCCAGGTACCGATCCAAGTGACATATGAAGCTGCAGAGACGTGATGCTACTCGCATGCTTCGTTCTGCCGTGCGTTCAAGGTCTTCTGTAGTGAAGAGGAGCCTCCTCGGGGCAAGATGAGTTGTTGCGAAGGCTGATGTGGCCATGTGCTCACTGATGCCGTCGGGTAGGTAGATGGTCAGTGGGACGTGGAGCGACTTCAGGAGAATCTCGAGCAGAATCTCGCGAGACGGTGAAGTCATGGCTTGTTTGCTAGCTGGATGGAGACCTCACGTGGCCAGCCTGTGTGGAGAGGCTGAGCCCGGCTGTGGCAAGCTTCAATGAAAGCAGAAAGCTGCAGACTTGAATGTGTTACTAGGTGAATCAGCCAAGGCTGAGGCATTGGCTCTGCAGCAGGCTCCAACTATCTGCAGAAAGACCTCATTGCCGGAGAATGCCGCTGTGATCTTAGTGAGAAGGGACTGTGCTGCAGTTGGAGATGGAGACTTTTCCGCTGCTTTATCTTGGCTTGCTAAAGGCTGCTGGTGTCCTAGTTAGACAGAGACGTTGCTAACCTGGTGCTCTACTTTGCAGGAGGTGACCTCACAAGCAAAGTTGCTAGCAGGCTAGGGTTCAAAAAGACGAAGGAAGGACTGGTGCCTCTCGTGCGACAAAGTACGATGAAGTGATCGAGCCTGTTGGCGGTTCGGGGGAGTGAGCATCTTATAGACGATCGCAAACGGCTTGTACTCCTCGTAGACGTCGTCATGTAAGGGATTGATGATTTGGTAGAAGCGAAGAGCCATGCTATTTTGGAAGTTCGGAGTAGAATCAACTCGGTGAGGAGACTCAGCACTGGCCTGAAGTGTATGGTTTACCTGCTTGAGGAGAGCATGCTCGAAAAGTTCGCGGAGTTCTCCTCTCGAGACTGCCGACTCTAAAAGTGTGTCACGGGCCCAGGCCGTCTCCTCTTCAGTGATGTCTCGTAGGAGCCATTTCCTGTACATCACCAGGTTCTCTCGGAGTTGGTCCTGGTAGTCCGGGAGGTGTGGCAGCAAGGCCTGGAGATGCTTGTCATAGGGCAATGAGTCGAGGTGTTGCGCTTGTTGCTGGAAGCGCCAGCCATTGGTGATGGGCGACTCACCGCCCTGGGTTGAGTGAGATATCTTGAGAAGCTGCTGTACTCGGTATATCGTCGACGCGCGCCTGAGTGCCTGAAGGTCGAAGTATTGGAGATCCAAGTGTTTGTCTTCGGGTAGGCCTAGATGTGGGGGAAAATAACTCTGACCTTGTCCCGGAGCCATGGACGGCTGCGACTGCTCCATGCTTGACATCAGACATGGTGTCGCCGACTTCATCAGGAGGTGGAGATGCGACAAGGCGGTGTCTATCATAAAGTTGATCTCTCCTTTGGCAAAGTGGCGGGTTAGGTACGTCCAAATTCGAAGTGCGGTATTCTCCGCATCTTCGAGCTGAAAAGAGTTTTGGCCTGGGCCATCATTTGTGTAGTCTCTGATCGCCTGAGATATGAAGATGAGCTGACGCCGCCGAATGTAAGTCAGAGTGTTCTCCTGAGGCTCGTGGAGCATCATTTCCTCGTGCTTACGTTTGGCTGCTAGCTGTCGAGTGGCAGTCTTGGGGAGGTAGAGTCGAAGGTCGCCCAGTCTCCAGTTGATCTTCTCCGTGAGCAGTTTCATGAAGCTGCAGGTGCGGGAAGCTATGCGTATCTGACGGTCCGAGTGCCGGAGGGCGTCTTCTGCCGGGATGCGTGTAGATGCCATTTGTATAGTGCTGGCCTCGTGGTCTCCCAGGGAGGATGCAGGGTAAACCGGAAGCGGGAGGAAAAGGGATTCCAGAAGCACCTCCATGGTTTTATCCCTACTCAGTACCGGAGGGAGGGCCTCCATGGTCAGGCTCATACAGGAGGGGACCTCACTCGTATGAAGGCTCTGATGTTAGCCGGAGCAAACACAGCTGCCTTGGTGCTTTTAGGCCGAAGGTA